TTCCTTTATTCGTGGTGCGAAAGCTCAGAAAAATCGTACAAAAAATGGAAATATTTGCATTTAGAGAGTAAGTTCTCATTACAAAATCAACAGTTCGTAGACTATGTTGCAAAATAATCCCCCCCGGTGTTTAGAGGCCTTAAGTAACCTTGTTTACACTCAAATCACACCGGAGACATTCATTTGAACGTTATCAACAGAGCAATACGAACACACTCGATTAGTCGGTCATTCAGTACCAGTTTAATGATTTTCTATAAAGGTAGCAAAACCTACGATGTGTGGACAGATAGAGGGATGGAGGGACAGAGAAAAGACCTGTAGGAGAAGCAAGGAGATGAGAGTAAAGAAAGGAGGGAAGGGAGAGGGAAGAAGTGAGAGACAAGCAGACATTACGAAAGACAGCCAAGGACAAATTACAGAAATTGAAAGCAGAAAAGGCTGCGTCTGCACCGTCTGTAAAAGACTCGGCCAAACGTGTTAACTTACAATCTAGAGCTTTTGATACTGTCCACAGTAAAATACAGCTACGTGATCTGTGTGTGCACAGAGCTTCTGTTGAGTGGCTTCCTGCTTTCATCCCTGGAAAAGTCCATCCATGATCCAGATGTTTGGATCTCTATTCTGTTTGATGGCAAGCCCACAGCAGCAACAGCAGCGCTACTTTAAAGACAACCTGTGTTTTTTTTCTTTCGGTTTTTTTTCACATGTCTCTCGGCGTGTGATGTATGTGTGGAAGTGACATATGTGTCACAGGATCACACATGTACACACTGGCTTTAGTTCGTCTGTTCTGTTTCTCACACATAAAAAGGCAAAGACAGAAAGCTCAGTAACACATGCTATTCCTACAAACAAACAAAGTAAAGGAGCGACATTTGGATTAGAAAGTGCTGGAGATGAGCATTTTAATCAGTAATAATGAAATGTGTTGCGTGGATGAATGTTTAATTTAACAAGCTAATTTACACCACAGTGAGATATTTGATCTCCCCTTCTCTCTCTCTCTCTCTCTCTCTCTCTCTCTCTCTCTCTCTGTCACACACTCGCACACAACCTTGAACACAGAAAATCACCACCTGCGGTACAAAGACAACAATACAGTGAGGAAAAGACAAACAATCGAGTTACATATCCCCGTAAAGTTTATGTTGAGCTTCTCTTTTTTTTTTTTACTGTGCATTTGACTAAAGGTGGAAATCCAGCACGCGACAGGATTTTAACCTCACGTTAGACTTGTGTATTCTGCTTGGCCGATTCTCACGCGTGGATTATAGAGAGCTAAAGTCATGACGTCATGTCCCGACTAGCTTCTTTAACTCTCGTTCCTCGTACACATCCATAAAATTCACCCACGCCCTCTTCTAAAGCCACTTTCCCCTTCTGTCTAAAACTCCATTCAACCCTCTTTCTTCATGCGTTTAATCTTTGCCAGTCACAACCCCTCGACTCGCCCATGGACAAGCCTCTTTTCTCAAAGTTCTGGAAATTATGGGTAAGGGCGTTTGTTACATGTTGCTAAAAAAACAACAACAACATATTAACTTAACGACCATCCATTATTTAGACATATAAAGCATACCGTTGAGAGAACTGTTACACTGCTGGATTTTTTCCGAGTTTTTCTTATTTCTGGAACAGAAACCGGATATTCCATTTTCATTGAGCTGGTGCTTGCGAGAGCTAATGGCATGCGACAGAATTCAATTCACCTTTTGTTGGTGAAACCATGAACAGTGTAACTTGTCCCAAAAATCTGTAACATTTAAGCTAACGCTGAGCTAGCTTGGGCCATTTCTCCAGGTCGTTGTCACATCCCCTGGTAGTAACCGGCAGAGTTATGATCACATTACCAAGTTCAAAGTATTGCGTGATGATGTATTTGCCAAAGAGCTCTGAAAAAAGACTGTAGGATATCGCTAACTCTCACAGACTCCGGTTTGTGGAAGTCCCGTCCGTAGTTCACAGACGCTATCATGGGCCTACACGGATAATGTGGATAATGTGTAAAGCACAACTAATAGAAAATATTAAAGCTTTTAGAAGTAGCACTTGCAGGGCACAACATTGTCGATATACATCTGAAATATATTACTGCTATATACATTGATAATCATAGAGCTGTATTTATTCACACTATGCACAGTGTTGTGACCTAACTCATTGACAGTCTGTGTGTTTCTAGTAATAAAACAGTGATTTGACTTTCCATATTAAGCAATAGCGGTTTTAATTTATTTTACCAATGTGTGAGTGTAAAACCGAGAGGGAAGGAATTTAGATGCATTTATTAACTACTCTCTTCCTCTTTGTCAGCAGAAAAATTTAGATAAAGGAAAAAGTTGAATTATATTTAATCATCGCCCTCCGAATCAATCTTCACAAAATGCATCTTCAATGACGTGCACAGGTCATTGCCGTTCTTATCTTGTGCTTTGCTTCCCCAAGTTTTCAGTCTCATGTCATTTCTCTTTTGTCTTATCAGTAATTACACCTGGGAGGCCTCAGGTTTGAATTTGAAAACACACAGCAGTGCTTGCAGCCGCTTGCTGGAGGCGAGTATATGACTCTGGTGCCCAGGTGGGAGTTTGTCCGTTTGTCTTGTCTCTAGTCTGATCCTCGCTGTTCTACTCAAACCTCAGGTCAAAATGTCATAAATGTTTCACTACTGCCATCTGCCATGTCTCTCCCAGCTGAACTTGTTCACTCTCAGAGTTGCTGGCTAAAAGTGCTGTTGAGTCGGTGTTGGTAGCGGACAGGATGTTTCGTGCCTTCTTAGCTCTTCACCATCTCAATGTTGGTTTTGCCCCTTCTTTAAGGTTGTATGTGCTTTAACGTAAGGGTCCAACATTATGGGAGGTATTATTAGCTTTCTTTTTGAGAGTTAGATGAAAAAATCAACACCAATCTCAGGTCCGTGCGTTTGGCAAAAAAAATTGTGAAATCTAACTAATCAAAGAAATATTTAGTGTCCCCACATTTCTTTTTCATGTGTGGATTAAACAAACGAGATACGAGTCAATGTGTGAAATTCAGAAACAGTTATGAGACTGGTATCAATCTTCTCGTCGAACTCTTGGAAAGACGGCGCATGCGCATATTTCCCTAGATGTTTTGTTGTAGGTTGTGGCCAATTTCTCCTCCGACATATTTAGGGCCTGTCTCTAACGGTGTTGACACATTAGCACGAGTCGCTGACCATCAACACTAACAAATCTCCCTCTCATCTCAATCTTTTTTATTAGCAAAGACGAAAGTAAAAAGCATTGAGGTAATGTTAGCAAACATTATTCGTTCACACTGACAATTGAACTGAGAAATATCCCCAGCAGCAGATCATTATTATTATACTATACTGTATATTATAATTTCATGAGTGGGATACTTTGGTAAGGGATTTGATAGAATTTGGATTCCCCAACCCTAACCATCTCTATATTCTCCAATAGAGAAAGAGCAAACAAAGAGTCTCGTTAAGGAGGGAGACATTGTTGGGAGACGAAGCAAAGGGTTCATGTAAAACGTCGACTTAATGTGAAGGAACATTTAGTAAAAAAAAAAACGCCATATAGAGGCTATAATGGTCTCTGCCGTTTGATCACGGTAATAACACCAAATATACTGCACCATTAATGTGACAATGATGTATGGTGTTTGAGAATGTTACAATTTCTCCTGCAGTTGTTTCTGTCCAATTTAACCTATTTGTCATAGCACCAAGCTGGAGGCGAGGAGATGTATAGTCTCGAAGCGCAGTGCTGTAAAATAATTCCCAGCTCTGCTCCGGTCAATAACGTTGCATTTACCCTGCAGCATTATTGAAAACCGCTCTACAATCGGATTTGTCCACGTTCCTTACATGAAACACATCGTCTCATAAATACATTTCTTGAGTTGTTTTTTGTTTTGTGTGTGTGTGTGTTTTGGAGCACCTCTGCGCAAAGAAAGACTTTAAAATGTAATCTGCAGTGGTTATTTTCCAATAAAACAATGCTGTCGCTGAGGTGATGATGACTGAACTCACTGTAGGCCAAACCCATCCAATCCGATTTTCCTACGTAGCCTCAAGATTCTGATTTACTCAGATTCAGCCCGCAGTGCCAATATCTTATCTGAGTGCCGCCGAGATGGTTTTTCAAATGGCTGCACCTTGGTGAATTGAGCCATTGAGGCCACTAATTGCTAATTCTGTCAGTTTAATTAAAGTTCAAAACTATAGCAGTCTCTTTAAACCATCCAAGCATATCTCTGGGGGAAGTCCCTCATGTCAAAAAAAAAAATAGCCGTGAGCTGATTGGAGTTTTAACTCTATTTACTTCTGTTGACTTCCTTCAGTCTAACACTTAGATCAACCTGGCAGTGTATTCTGCCGATGTAGCTTAGTTTATTTTAAACATCCCAGGGTCGACATGTTGAGTTTGTGTGTGTGTGTGTGTGTGTGTGTGTATGTCAAGAATGACAAAGAATTGGGGTCCCATTGGGGTCCCATACCAAATAAGACGAATACAATTACCACAAATGTCTCCAGATCTGCTTGCCAATACTGTTTAATTCAGCCCTGTAGGTATGTATATAACCAACTTGCCACTGGCGAGGCTGACGCTCAATCAGTTCATAAGGTGAACAGTTTTTTTATCCATTCCCTCCTCTCTTAAAGTGTGCGTACTGTTGCAGCCTTTGAGGATTTATTTTTGTGCCATTTCAAATTCTAGTGCACGGCTTTGATTTCTTATCTTTTTAGTGAATAAACAAAGTAAACCTCCAACCTAAAGCCCCCCGTGTAAGACACCCTCGCTGCTAGACAGGTGTATTCAATCTTCAACACGGCAGAACTGTATTTGTTTTCCAGGTGTACTCTCTCTCTCTCTCTCTCTCTCTCTCTCTCTCTCTCTCTCTCTCTC